ATCATTTATTTTTCAACAGGACAATGACCCCAAACACACCTCCAGGCTGTGTAAGGGCTATTTGACCAAGAAGGAGAGTGATGGAGTGCTGCGGCAGATGACCTGGCCTCCACAGTCACCGGACCTGAACCCAATCGAGATGGTTTGGGGTGAGCTGGACCGCAGAGTGAAGGCAAAGGGGCCAACAAGTGCTAAACACCTCTGGGAACTCCTTCAAGACTGTTGGAAAACCATGTCAGGTGACTACCTCTTGAAGCTCGTCCAGAGAATGCCAAGAGTGTGCAAAGCAGTAATCAGAGCAAAGGGTGGCTATTTTGAAGAAACTAGAATATAAAACATGTTTTCAGTTATTTCACCTTTTTTTGTTAAGTACATAACTCCACGTGTTCATTCATAGTTTTGATGCCTTCAGTGAGAATCTACAATGTAAATAGTCATGAAAATAAAGAAAACGCATTGAATGAGAAGGTGTGTCCAAACTTTTGGCCTGTACTGTATATATTGAAATGTATTTTTTCATGGTATCTTATTTCATGTCACTCTGTGTTTTTCCATTTTGTTTATTTGTTTCACCTGTAATGTCATTAAATGGATCATGTGATGGCCTTTGATTGGCTCCTGCCCCCATATAGGTGGGGCCATACCTGTGTTGTATGTTTTGAAAGCTCTGACTTGGACCTGCAGTGGTCAAAACATGTTGGCTCTTTTAATGATGTGTGTAATGATATTGTAGCCACGGCAATTAAGGCTTTTCAATACTTCCTCCTGACTTTTTCTGTGGTTTTTTTTTTCGGAGAGCCTGGATTGCCTTCCTGTCGATCCTGTTGTTTCCCGTTCTCCACAAGCACCCAACACACACTAGTTGTCTCTTTTGCCCCTCCAATGTATTGATAAAAAAGGTTAACTTAAAAAAATGTCATCCAAAATAATCATGAGAAAATGTAATTCTATTCATAAATAACCTTAAAAAATTGCCATAATTATTGCTAACACAATTAGTGTTGCCATGTTCCAGCAGAAATCGTTGCTCAACTGCTGTGGGTAGGTATGATGTAATACACTGTAGCCTACTGCCTCCCTATTTCATTACTTTCAAATGTATTAAAAGGAGGAAAACTAGAATGACCCCCAGCAGATTTAGTCCCTCCCTAATTTGACACTCTTTGATACGACCTTGCAGTGAGGCAAAAGATTATGGGAGCAAAGTAAAAAATAATAGAAATACTGTAGTTTTAAATTGTTTTCTATATGTTGCCATGTATGAAAAAGACCTTTGACATTTTAACCTTTGAAAAGACATTTGTAGGGATGCACCAAATTACTGGCCGCACATCGGTATCAACCGACATTTGCCTCTTTGACCGCCATCGGTCTATCTGCTAATAAGATGGCATTCACTGATGGCAACAGCAGATGTTTTGCTGTTATGTCAAATCAATTTTATGCAGGCTAAAAAGCACAGCTCTAAACTAAAGGCATCCAAGGGACAATAGAAAACATCCATGGAACAAACAAAGATCTTCCCCAGGACGCCGCCAGGACAAAAGGACACAATAAACTCATGCCGTCATCAACACATCCCTGTCTTCCCTGATAATGCTACATTGTGAACAACAAATCAGTGTTGATATCAACACAAGAGAGCTAGTTAATATTAGCTGTTTGCTGGTCGTCAGGTTGTGTCGAGTTACATTATGATGCGTTCATGCTCTCTTGGTAAAAATGGGTTTTGGCGAAGGCAAATTATAACGATCTCATGATCTTTTCAAATGCCATCTTGTTAAATGTAGAAGAAGCCTAAATAAGTACAGTTGTTTGTTTTGTTGTTGAAAGGCGTCGGTGTTATAAGCTGTAGCTTCAGCCTACACCTTACTCTGACTGCAAAAGTGTCTAACTTATGTTATTCTTTACAATTACTTTATTGTAATGATTTGCACTGTACTATTTAAATACCTGCCATTTTCTGTGAGAAGCTGTGACTTTATTTACATTAATTACATAACGTTCTTATTTCTATTTGCAGACTGGAATAAATTCTAATTCTAGTTTAAAGGTGAAATGTGTTGACTTTTTGGCAGCAATATAACACAGATGTTATGGAGGCAATATGATATATTATATATGGTGACTTCATGTGAAAGAGGGTTACTATAAGGGTTATCTTAAGTGCTATATCGTAGGCAACTGGACTTGCCTGAGAATCTTCACCCACAAATTATAAGGGTTATATCATGGATTAGTGTAATTAATTTGTGCTCATACATTCATTTATTTCCGTAACTTGTGGGGTGGAACGGTGGACTTGGTGCCTATCCCAGCTGACATTGGGTGAGAGGCAGGGTTCACCCTGGACAGGTCACCAGACTATCACAGGGCTGACACATAGAGACAGACAACCATTCACACTCACACTCACACCTACGGACAATTTAGAATCACCAGTTAACCTGCATGTCTTTGGACTGTGGGAGGAAGCTGGAGCACCCACAAAAAAACATCATTATCGGTGTCAGCTATTGGCCAAATTGCTCTTTTAAACATCAGTGTAAGTATCAGGCCAGAGTTCTTATTAGTGATATCCTCAGCATTTGTATAGGAATGATTCTGTAAAAAGCTTTTTGATCACTATAAGTAGTTTCCACTTTATAAAATATCTGAATTGAAAAATGGGGCTTAAAAAGTACTTCTCATCTCTTTCTTTCGTAAATACCTAATTATTTCAGAATCATGTCTCAACTTAACCACCAATGGTGAAACAACATTATCTTTAGTGCAGTCCGTTTCTAAAAGACAAGGTCACAGTCAAAGATAACGCACAGGCTTGGTTTAAGAGGCAGCATTGCCATGATCCTTCTCTCTAAATTGAGTTGGAGTAAAATGCGCTGCTGTAGATTTTAAAAGGAAGTCAGTAAATGGCACAGCCAAGAGGGAGCATGTAAAGACACAGCAAAATAGGACCTTGGGGTGATAACAACATTTTAAGGGAAGGAATTTCCCTTTTTAATTGACAATGATCTGTTAGGAAGAATGGTCCTAAACCAACTTAATGCTTAACCCAA